GCATGTACATACAGTGCCGCTGTAGTTTAAGGAGCTGGTACTGTGTGAGTTTCAATAATAACTAATACAGCACTAAAATCATTCTTCTTACAGAACCTACAAACTGCAAAGTTTACTGTATTTTTAGTATTTCCTGTAATGTAATTTAATGTTTTACTATTTTTAATGAGAACAATCATGTAGTATCTGGTAATCTTTAGTCTTCCCTATTGTCCATCAGAACCTTGTGATTCCCATTCTGCATGCTAGGCCCACAGACTGTTTCTGTCATGCATTGTTTCAAGCTGTAGTATTTTAAGAATATTTTCATTCTATTTTTGAGTAAGCTGCCAAACATAAACACATGTAGGATCCTATAAAGTACATTCCTACTGGAGCGTAAAGCGTTATGAAAAGAACCTTATGGAAGGTAAAGTAGCCTTGGAAAGGTTTGGAGGGTTTTTTCTTGGTGTGGGGATTTTGTTGTTTGGGGGTTTTTTGGCTGGTGTTTGTTTTGGATTTTTTGGTTGGTTGGGTTTTTTTTGCTTAAAGAAAGTCTCCTAGAGTTTGCTGATGGGCAGACACAAGGCGGAATGCTATCTTACCCGCGTAGTCATCTACAGTACTGTTTATTCTAAGACACTTTATCCACAGCTGGAATGAGTATAAATGAATATAAACAACTGAACTTAATGAGCCCCCACTTTGGTTATTTATTTTCATCTATTCAATCCAATAAACTTCTCAGTTTTTAAGTTTTCCCTGAAGATGCTGTGGATGTTTGTGTTTGTGCCAGCTTACCCCAAACATGCAAGACTTCGCTTAGAGCTACACAGTCACGTTCAGTTGAAAACACATCAGCACTCACATAAACTAAGCAGTACATTGCAAATAGGAGACTCAAATTCTCACACCTGGCTAAGGAATTTAGGACTAGGTTTGAATAATGGATTTGGGCACCATAAGCAGGTCTGGGTGGATAACTGCTGAAGTCCAAATTGTGATACATCCAATAGCTGTTGTCTTGGGCAGTAGATATGTGGACTGTGTTCAAATGCCAAGAAGTGGAGGTGTCTTCATAGCCCCACATCTTGCTCCTACTTCAGTCTGATCACAGTGCAGAAACAAACTAGCCGTTGACCTTCCAGGCACTACAGGAGGCTGGCAGTCATTGTGGGGCTCGGAGCCCACCCCACCCCAATGCGCATCTCTGGCAGACTCCCTTCCAAAACAGGGTGGGAAGAGTCTGTATATGGGAATAGGATGGTTGTATCTATTTTTGATATAACAGCCTTGAGTGTAAAACCTGGGTTCTGATCAAGAGTCCTGGCTAACTAGTTGTCAGCCGTGAGAGACTGTTAGGAGATTGTTGAGAGCTGGGAGCAGAACCTGCTGCAGAACTTCACCCACAGCTGTAGGCTTTAGCATTTGCTCAAGGACCAGATTATTTTCTCTCTGCAGTTTTTCCTACTGACAGAGTGTTAGCTGGAGAAACATCAACAGCTTCCCTGCCTTCCCCTTAGCGTAGGGGAGAAAAAGGGGGAGAGTGAGACAGAAGGATGGAGGCAAGCAGCTGAGATGCTGCACTTCATCACTGGGCAGAGGGAAGCAGGCTGAGGGGTGTGGCATAGCAATATCATATGTTCTCCTCTCTGTCATATTTTGAAAAGAAGGTAGAAATGCAGCAGAACTGAGGAGCATCTGTTCCCTTGGGCACAGTGGAAATGGAGCAAGGCTAATGCCAAGTGCTGCTTCTACTCTGGTGGTTCTGGGCAGCTCACCCTGAGTGGTTTCTAACAGAGCCCCTTCATATTAGCTGAGGCGTCCCAAGCATTGTTTTGCTCTCATTTCTTAGAGTGAATCTTGATCAGCTCTTAGGAAATAATAATAATTTTAAAAAAAGGATACTGAGAGCCTGACCTGAGAAATACTGGTTGCTGGATCCCAAGTTGGCAGCATTTCAGACACTGGGAAGTAGCTTAGCATTTTTGTGTTAGGTTTCCCTCCTCTCTATGTGGGTATGATGTGCCTAGGAACTTAACAAGCTCAGATGTTACCCATGGGCCCTATGTTCTTTACTGGTCCTATTCTTTCAGCTTATTTTGCTTGGTTCTGCATGCAAAAGTGCTTTTTGTAGGTAGCACATTGATTCAATTTTTTAATATTCTCTTTTAAGGCAGAGTTTTTGTCAAATTGTAATAACCACTGTTATTGGGAGATGAAAGTGTTTATAACACTGTGTACTTTTGCAGAACATGGTCCATCTTCTTGTAGTATGTGATTTACTGTAGGTGAGTAGAAGCAGGTGTTGGCCATCCTGTAGTTTTTGTTTTGGTCTTAAAGAAGAGAGGACAGATACCTACTTAAACTCAGCAGGATCTGAGAAACAGACTGGAAATTTAAAAGAGAAACCTGAATACAAGCAGTCTTGATGAATTAGTGATGTACCAACTGGAAAGCTGACTGCTGTGAAAGCATTCCTTTCTTTAATCAAAAAGCTACTCGCAGTAGGAGCACTTCACCCTCTCCTTTGCCCTGGTGCTGGCTTATTGAGTCTCTAGCTGAGGCTGCTGATAAGTACGTACTGGGAAATGGATAGATCTGTGCATCTTACCTTTGGCCCTGAAAATCCATCGTGTTAAAACAATTCACTTTTTTTCCTGGATCTCCACGGGTGCCTGCTGCTGCATTCACCATTCATTCAATACCCCCACACACACTTATGCACGTTTGGGGCAGCCTTCCAGGGGCTAAATGGCTGTTGATCCTTCTCTCAGCTTCAGTGTTTGGAAGCGCCAGGGTTGTATTTGCTACAGTAACAAAGGGTAAGAAAGCACTTCTGCTCTTTCAAAAACAAAATATGATAAATCTCATTTCAGCATGACTCCTATGATAAAAGTGTCACACACAAAGAGAACACCTAATCATTTGACTGCTTCATCATGAAAACAGTTAGGATGGCTCTGCTTCTCCAGCAAGTGTAGAATATGCCACTCAGGGAGATGCTCAAGGTGTGCTGTGGAACAGGGAATGACCATGCTAGATTGCAGCCCCTGTTCAGTTCTGCTAAGGAGGCCAAGTCAGTGATTCTGTCCTTCTGGAAAGTTCTCAAAAGGCAAGAGTGTTGGCTCACATTTCTAGGAGTGGAAGTTGGTGACTACATGACTTATGTTCCTTACATCCTGCTACCCACCTTCGTCTCCTCTCAGTTCTAGCCTAGGTACTCACTCTTCACCACAACTGATCAGCTTTTATTTCTCCATCATGTGGCTGTGCAGTAACAGCATGAACATATATGAGAATTCACAGAATTCAAGAGTAGAAGCATTTAGCAGCCCTATGTACCATCTTTAGGTTTGTTGGTTTTTTTGATGGACAGTGCCTGGTAAATTAAGCAGCTTTGTTAGAGCCAGGTCAAATCTGTATGACTTTCACTGGAGTTTTGATTTCTTTCTACATTACCCTCTTCACTTCTGGAAGGGCTGTCTTTCAAAGTTGCTTATGGCTGCTGTAAATGTATATTAATTCCTTTGTGCTAAAAGACTGGAAGTACAAGAGAAATAATTTCCTTATTTACATTTTAATTTAGTGTTACTTGTTAAAGTGGCCACATTAAAATCCATCCCTTTCATTTTCTTGACATCTTTATCAAAGAACTGCCATTTGCAAGGGAAGATTTTTTTTCTGTATGAAACTGATGTTCAGTCACTTGCTTCAGTGACTTTAAGGTTACAATAAACAGATTACTAGTAGGCTAAATATAATCTAATGGCGCCACTGTCATTAGAATGACCCCAGCCTTTTCAGACTGCTGGTAAGTGTTTTGAAGAACAAGTGTGCATATACTTAGCAGTAGATACACCCCCTGAATTCAACTGATCATTAAGGTAAGAAGGAATGACCCTCTCTGCAACTTGGGGATAACAAAGGGCATTCAGGAAGATAATGGGATACACATCCACTATGACAGGCCAGCCTACCTTGTGGAAATGCTCTTGATCTATTGACAAATAGCACGGCCTTCATTTGTTGTTTGTTCCAAAACAGACAATGTTACATCAAGCAATAGGCCGAAATCTAGGGATAGGAGACATTTCTCCTGGGGGGCTTCCAAAGCATTTGCCATCTTACCCAAAAATCCTTATTGCCTAATACATAGCATTTCTCACACACTCTCAAACACTTCACAAATGAGATCAGTTTCATTATCTCTGGATGGCAAATTAGGGCAAGGAGAGGTGTTTTGACTAATCCAGGGTCAAGTTGAAGACTGTGAGCAAGCTGCAGACAGAATCTAGCATTTGGTCTACTGAAAATTTCCTTTCAGATGGACAGCTTTTAGCATCACCTACCAACCTCAACTCCTGGTCTTGAGCCTGGAGAATTGTTTTCCTAAGAAAAGCTGCAGTAATTTCCCATTATTCCCCACAATGGACATCTGAGCTATTAAAAAAAAAAAAAAAAAAAAAAGATAAAAACTTGGGTAAAACCTGTGGGCCCTGCACAGCAATTTGGTTGCCACAAAGCCTGGGTACCAGTCATTATGTGCAGACAGCATGGAGAATGGAGCTCTAACCTGAGACTTGCCCAAGTGTCCCTGGGATGCAGGTAACCACCTTTCAGATAGCCCACATGTGGGTAAGTGCTTGATCTTGGCCTCTGAGGATGGCAGTGACTGTCAGTGGGATCTGCCTTCCCAGGTCACTGGGCTGCCCTGTCTCAGACACCATGGGGGGGCAGGAGGCCAAGGTTCTACCTCTGCACTGACTCGTGGATGGTAGCCAATGCTCTGTGGGGATGGCTAGGCAGGTGGAAGAAGGCAAAGTGGCAACAAAGGAAAACCCATCTGGGCTTCCAAAATGTGGCAAGACATCGCCACCCAGGTAAAGAAGCTGATTGTGAGAGTCTGCCGTGTAGACGCACACGTGCCTAAGAGTTGAGCTAACAAGAACATCATAACAACGAACAGGCAGACCGAGCTGCCCAAATCAAGCTGTCATAGGTAGATCTAGACTGGCAGCATGAAGGAGAGCTGTTCCTACCTCAATGAGCCCACAGTGCCTCAGGTCATCAGAGCAGAGATGCCACCTACAGATGAGGGAGGGATGGATATAACTGTGGACATTATCTCCCAGGTTATCCACAATTGTGAGACATGCACTGCAATCAAGCAGGCTAAGAGGGTAAAGCCTCTATGGGTAAAGCCTACTACATTACACTGCCGCAGACCCGCCAAGGTAAGCGCTGTGTCCTGGGATGCTGTTCTACAAGTACTGCCAAGCACATGCAAGGGGTCACCCTCTGTTCTTGTTGCTCCCTTCTTGTACCAGATGTAACTTCCATACACCACTGTTTTGCAGCAGTGCTTTATAAGGGCTGCTAGTGCTGTTTCAGACAGTCATTGCCCTAGACCATAGAATGAGCAATTCCTTCTTTGCTATTCAAGTCTAGTGTTTCACTGACACTGTGAATATGTCAAAACCCTCTAAGCACTCAGCTTAGAACACCCACAAAACCTGTGACTTAATGATATCATGCCTTTTCCTCCTTCAATCTACCTTCACAATTGTTTCTCACAGAAACATCTACTTTTTTTTTTAATCACTTAGCAATCTAACAAGCACATACTCGGTTATTTTAAGCTTCTTTAAGAATAAACCATTATCTTTAGTCAGCCTAAGTTTGGAGCCTGTGCATCACCTGGTTATTAGTTACAAGATGCTGAACACCCTTTCTGTCGTCATGAGTGAAACATGCTTAGTACAACCTGCCTAGATACATAAATGACCTCAGCTGTAGTACATGATTCATCACACCTAAGGAAAGTGAGATGGGATGTTCCTCTTACAGTGCAGGTGGGAACAGTAGAGGAACTGAGACACAGGCAAGTGAAGTGTCTTAGCTAGAATCATGCAAAAGAGTTCTTACAAAACTGAGTTTCAGACACTGGTTTCTCGTATTTCAAGCAAATACCCTGAGCATGGATGATCTTGTAGAATTGGAATCACCATCTCATCACTGTCAAGACGTTCTTTATTCCACGCTGCTGAAGAAAATGATGGTTAACACAAGTCTTATGCTGTGTCTGTCCTTTTTCTGATGCTCTTGAGTTTGCTAAACAGGATTTGCATGTGGTTTATCCTAACAAAAACCTTTGCTGGGAATATATGTTGACATTGAGTGGAACTGGAAAAGAAACAGAATTCACCTTCAGCCCTGGGTCTTGGGGACTTGAAACAGCTGGAGCACAACTGCCTTTATCTCACTGCCAGAAACAGAATGCCTTATGAGGAAATGAGAAGTTGAACGTGACTGCAAGTACCAAAACAACTTGGGGAGATGCAGCAGTTGCTTGAAAGGGATGGTATATAAAGGCTCTCTTATTTAGAGAAATGCTGTTTTCCTCAGAGGACAGTGGGATTTGATGGCCTCTGTTTCTTTAGCAGCGTTTTAGACTAGGGTGGCTGTTTTCTTCCTCTGTGGAGTGGGAGGTGATACAAAGCAATTTTCATCTTGAAAGCCCCTTGCGATTATTAAGTTTTTTGAGGAAGGAATCAGCATCTGGAAACATGGCCACGCAACTAAACTGACAGTGGAAACCCAGATCTGGGTGCAAAGTGAATGGTTCCATGTAAATTCAAATTCACAGGCTGTTGGAAATGGTTACTTCTTGAAGTAGCAGCTGAGGAAAGAGCCTGCAGTCCTTCTGTTACAGGCATTTACATGTAATGAGGCAGTAAATTTGGCGATATGGCAGTTGTATGTGCTCTCAAGGCTTTTTATTCATGTGGTCAATAGACACACAGAAGAAATTGTCAACAACTTTGGAGGCTTCTACAGAGAGCTTACCTGCCCCAGGTAACTCTGCTGGGTAAGACACACTGGGGGCACTGTTGTGAAAAGGATAGTAACAAATGTAAGTTGTTCATTTTCTGAGAGCTCTGGGTGAGTATTTGATGCAAGTCATACATTTCAACATCTTCTTCTTTTGTAGTTTTTAACCAATATGAATTGCTCCTTTTTTTCCAGTATCAGTGACTTTTCCCCTTGTCGAGTTATCAACAGTGCTGTTTTTTAAACTGTGGCAAACAAAATATCATTTAACAGAAACTGAGACATCGCTGAGTATCAAACACTGAGGATGACACTGGGGGAATCTACATTTTTTTGCTCAACAGACTGGATCATGAAACAGCACTGTGCACTTGACTATAGCTTCTGTCCTGAAGGCTCTGTGGGTTAAGTGGGATCTCAGCATAAGAATGTTCATTAACTCAGATTCTCTGCTCCTGATTATCTTCATTTGCACATGTGTCTTGATTTTGCAGTAATTAATACATATGTTTGGCTTTAAAATATCAAAGAAAGTACAGGCATCGCCAAGTTCTTGGAGACTCTGCACATGCTTAATTACTGCAAGGTGGAAAATTGTAGCCACTGCACAGTGCTTAGTGGTGGAATTGGTCAGAACATTTCAGAGTAATTTTGTGGAACTCTGGCATTTCTGAAAGAAAATATTTTTGCCTAGTCCTGCTTATCAGATGTTTCTCCACATCATCTTCTTGATTTCATCTTTCTTACATGGATATTTTAATCTCAGATTTTAGCCTTTTAGCCACTTCCCTACTGAATATGCTGTTGATCTGGGAGCCAAACCTTGTATACTTAGTATGTTACTGTTCATTAAAAATAGCCTATTTAGGCAGTGATGTGAGGAGCCATAAAGACAGCCTGGCTAGGAAAGAAAATTACTGAACAAAAGATATTGTCTACTCAAAAAAACTGACAGAGAAAGGGCTGCCAGCCTGGAAATGTGAGCCTGGGGACTAGCCCTGTGAACTATTGAAAAACATCCCTGAGAAGTGCAGCTGGTCTCTTTGAAGTGCAGCCGAGGTACCTAGAAACCAGAAACGTCCACAGATACCACCGATAAACACCAAACAAGGAGATTGTAATGTCAGTTTGTCCTCTGAAGGTGGAAAACAGTCTGAAAAAATAAACTTGCTCTGAAGGAACAGAAAACACCAGCCCCAATTGGCTGGTACAGGTGAAAAATGTAAATTTATTAAATGTAGATTAATGTTTATTTAAATGTAATTAAATGTAAACAGGATCTATTGGCTGCCCCATGTCCTACTCCTTCTTATGAGTCTGTGATATAAAAAGGACCTAATGTTTATCCAAAAATGAGCTGCTGTCTGAGAACTTCTTGGCTGAATCCCACACAAACTTTCTAAAAGCTCTTGAACTCTCCCCAGGGACACCTGGCTATAAAAGGATTCTGTGATGTGGATCATTTTGGAAATGGGACTCTGTCAGCTGTCTTATAGGCTTGGCCCATCCTCACCTCTTTTGGGGTGGGTTCATTCTGCTCTGGCATCAAGTTGTTCCCCCCTTTTTGGATCCTTTGGCTCCTTCTGACGTCTGCCTAATTCACCTCAATATCAATAGCATTAATATTCATATAAGTACTCATAAATATATCTGCTGTTATATCATTGATAAGTTTGCTTCATTCATGATAAGCTGTAGCAATCTGAAATAGTATGTAGATACTTGGTTGCTGCTGTCATTGGTTGTACTATAGTACTGACCGATGCTATTATTGATTGATACCATACTACTGCTTGATACCATACTACTGCTTGATACCATTGATCGCTGATAGTAATTTGTAATAGCTCCATATATATTCATTCATATTCATTTTATTAATCATAGACATGTTTCCTAATGGCAATTTTTGTGATATTTGTGGTAATCTGTAATAAAGTAGAGAAATTTAGAGGACAAAGCTTTTATGTCCTTGTGTATTACAGAATCCTACAAACCCACAATTATTATCTTTCCACACCTGAAGCCAGTTAACCTTTTAAGTGGTGACAGCAGAAACTGGCCTTTTGCTCTGTGATTTAAAACTCTTGGTATGGTGGAGTCCAAGTCCAGACATTTTAGATAGAAACTGTTTCCCTGGCGGTGAGTGTTGCTTTCTGGTCAGAGATGTCCTTCCCTCCCAACACACCCTTTTCACGTGTCTGCCCTCATGCAGAGGTGCAAACTAGTCCCTCTTCTGGTGAAACTGTACAGCTTGTCTTGTCTGTCTCTAGCACCATAGCTGGCAGTGGGAACTGATGTCTACAGCTATAGGAAGCTGTATACTTAAAGACTGTGCTTTAATCCGTAGGTCTTTGTTTATGATTTGGCCAAGAAGCTGCTTTTCCTTAACTCTGGATAACTGGGAATTTGTTTTAGTTTTTTTAATTGTTTGGGGATTTTTTTGCAAAAATAATGCCTTACTAAAAACTCAATAATTGAATTGTCTGTGTTACTATTGGCTGCTAGCAAATGCTTGGGCTTCTTGTGTTGATATGTTTGCTGAAGTGATCAGTCATTTGGGGGGAATTCTGTTCAGTATTAAGATCTAAAAGAGCCTGTTCTAAAATAACTTAGCTTTTCCTTTCCTGAGAGCAGGAGGCATGAGATCAGGGGTGCTTCTCTGTTCTAACTTGACAGCTGAAAAGTGTGACTTGGCTTTCCTGTTTAATCTTTTACTCCTGCTTGGATAGAGTTTAAAAGAAAGCTGAAAAGTGTTTATTATCAACTACTCACAGCCATGAAATTAGGCAAACACATTTGGCAGTGCAACACAAGCTCATGAGGGAGGAGGCTGTGAAGATTTAGAATATCTGCTGTCTCAACTCTCTGCTTGCTTCAGAAAAACAGGGAAAAGATTGACAGCCATTCCTCAACTGACTAGCATTACTTAACTTTTTTTTTCATCATGCTGGTTTATTATGCTATGGGGTTTTTTATTTTGTATGTCATCCTTGAAGCAGGATGCCAAGCAATTGCAATTCTGCATGAATTTCAGATATATTACTGTTTTGCTAACAGAAGAAGAAGCTTATGATAAGTCACCTTTCCTTTAAAGCCGGAATTTGGTACCCTCCATTTTCCTAATCCTTGAGCTGTGTCATCAGTTTTGATGGGAGTAACTCACTAAGGAACACATCACCAGCCTTTGAGACTAAGACAGGCTGGAGGGACAACTGTAGAGATGAAATCTGGAGTGTGGGGAGAAGTAATTTGATATGGTTCAGTATGACTTGATATTTATTCTTCTTCCCTTACAGAAATAGTTCAAAATGGCCTGCGTGGGAAAAAAGAAATGAGTGAGCTTAAATACGTCTGTACCTGATGAAAAGCATTACTTTGCATCTCCCAGGGAAGAGGACTGTGGGAGATGAGGCGTGTTTGCTAGCATCTTCTTGTGTGTCCCAGGAGTGCAACGTCAAACATTCAGTTTTGCTACACTGGTGATTTTTTGCCATGTAACTCTTAACACTGGATTAGTAAGGAGTTCGTGCTGTTCTCTGCTTCTTCCAAGGATTTATCTGGTTTGGAGTTTTCTTGCAATGAAATAGCTAGCAAGAAGAGGGAAGGGCTTATTTGGCAAAGTTGATCTATTTGACTAAATTGATGGCTTTCGAGGGAAAAAAAAGAAGTCAAAACACTTCCTATCCTTCAGTTTTCCCAAAGAACATTATTTGGTGCTCTATTTAACAAAATAATATGCTGTTGACTAAAACACAGCCTGACTTGTAACCGTACTCATTTGCTTCAGAACAGCAAATAGTGAAGTATGGATATCTGTCTTACACAAGGTCCTGTTCCTGGCTGGGCTATTCAGACCAGCAGTTAAAACCGGTTTGAATGTTCAATCCTGTAATGGTAAGATTTTAAATGGTATGTGGAGTGGGGAATGCTAACAGATGATGATGAATTCTCACTGCTTGTCCTAAACACTTAGAAGTTTAGCTGGGCTGACTGAAAATGTAACATAGCAGATCCATTTGGGGAAGTAAAAAAGTGGGCTCAATACCGTTCCAGTAGTTTTTCCAGTAAGGCAGACTGTTACAGTCTGGTTTATGATTGAGGATATACCCAAGGAAGTAAGGTGAAAAGGAAGTCTCTTTATTGGTATATTGTGTGTAACAGTGAGTTTGCATGGGTGCAGCTGTGTTAGCTTAAGCAAGGAGCTTATCCACATAGGGATTCTCAGGAGAGTGATATGAATTAACCAAAATCATTAAGAGAGTTAAAGAAACACATAAAATTTGTGCTTGGATATCATGGCTAGGCTTCGCAAACAAACGTTTGAGAAGGATTCTTTCCACGCTTGCTACAAGCACACTGATGGCCAAAAAGGCCAATGCGAGATAGCTGTGTCGAGAAACACGGTGTCTTAACCTGCAGTAACTCCATGGATGAGAAATGAGGGTATCTCCTTCAGAGGCGACATGAACCTCAAAATTTAAGAAATGCTGGTTTATTCTAGAACTTCTGGTTGCCTACAATTTGAGGGGTACTCTGAAACTGTCAGCTGTAGAGGACCCTTGGCTTCCCTTGTAAACAGCATCCTTATTTCCAGAGAATGTTTGTGCTTGACTTTCTGTGACAGCTTATTGGTGTCAGATTAAGTTAATATAGCTGAGATGTTTCTTTTGGAAAATATACACCTTGGTTTACCTACAGATAGTGTTGCCGGTTCAGGGGATGTTCATACCTAGATGAGAAAAATTTGTCATATGTTGTAGTTGGCTGGGTGAAGGGGTTTGGTTCAGCTAGATGTTATGGATACATCTGATCTCATTTTCTGATTTTTTTTTCCTAGCTACTTCTGAGGAAGAAATAAAAAGCTTATTCTAATTATTTGTAAATTAATATTATCTGAGATGCAGTGTGGTGGAGTTATTTAGAGGTATGTAATTAATTGACGTAACTTTGCTTGCAGTTATACACATAGGCCTTGAGGTTGCACAATATATTTAGTGTTGTTATTCTTCTGTGTTTTGTGCTTTGAACAGTTGAACTAGGCCTAGTCTAACTCTTTCAGGTCTATGATACAGGCACTGATGACTTTGCTTCTGTATCTCTCCCAGACACTCCTCCTTTCTCCTACTGCATAATGCTGCATTGCAGGAAAACAGTAATAGTGTGGCAATGCTGAGGGCTGATCACAAATGAGGATAAAAGTATAAACGTGTTTCCATTGATTTATGAAAAACCATTGCTGTTTTATTTTCAGAGTAGGATGAAGCTTATTCACAAGAGAGGAGAAGTAATAAGAAAGTTCTTTCTGTAAGGCAGTGATGTTAAAATTGTAAATTCTAGAATCTTTATGGATTCCAGTTTACTGCCGCATTAATCATTCAGAAGTGATCCACATCTTGTTCCAAGTATGCATATGTGTTCAAAGTAAAGGTGGGTGCATATCTACAGGATGATATTTACAGATGCAGATTTATATGAGAAATGACTGACCCAAATGAAATAACTGTGGATATCACTTTTTGCTACTATACTATGTTATTTTCTATTTAAAGCCATTAGATGAAATATAAGCTTTTATTGACAAATATTTTTTCTTCCTTCTTCAAATCCTGAATAATGATGGCAACAAATGTTGATATAATTCAACAAAGAGCAGTATTGGATATGACCAAAGTAGATGTATTAGTAAGAATTATATCAGGTATTTCTCTGCCAAAAATTTGAGTGTGCAGGGGAACCCCACTACCACGATTGTCTGGTAGAAGATTTTAATTGCCTTTCATATCCAAGGAGGCTTCCAGAGCTTATTAGTATTTTTCACCAATATTTGGTCAAAAATAAATTGGAAAATATGTTATTCAAACTAAAATATTTGGATGAAAAGGAATAATTAGATGGAAGCCACATGTTTTTATTTGGAACTATTACTTTGTTGACTACTATGGCCGGATTCTTTGCCTCATGTGTTCACTGACCTGCCACAGCTGCTGCGCTGACCCACTGCAGCGCAGCAAGAATCTTTCATGGGGTGTGAAATGCCATGGAATGCAGAACCAAGAACTCTGTGAATACAGAATGGCAAGGACCTGCAGAGGAACTATCGTGTAATTTTCATATGTTTTATTTTTTTATAGGAAGAAAACTTCTCCCTTGTGTGGGAGAGAAATGCTGCTTCAGAAACTCATCTTATTTAAGGTACTTCATTTTTTTGTCAAGAAGCTTTTCTGCTGAAAATTTCAGGCAGCCATGACCATGTTTTAGGGTGCTTTACTCAAGTATATGCTGACAAGATATACTCATTCCCACAGAATGATGTGCTGTACTGTTGCAGTCCGAAATTTGGATACCAACAGAAAAGGAACTGCTAGGATTAAACAGGAAACCTTGGGCCACAGAGGCTGGGAAAAAAAACACCATCTAAAAGACCAGAAAAGATCCATTGTCTTGATCAACCCCAGCAGGTTATAGAGAGACTTTGCATGATGCTATCAGATATCCCATTGTTTTCTCCCTCCCTGTGTAAATCCTTCTTTCTGGTAAAGCTGATCACTCTTCCCCAATGTAATCCTGCTTACTGGAAATATCAACCCTTTTCTCCCAAAATGTAAATACTGTATCCAAGAAATATAAAATCATTTTTCCCCTCATGTCACCCCTGTTACTGGAAATGCTAATAGATTGTGGAAACCTCTGTTTGGAATAACCCTGCCTCCTCATTAGCATGTAAGCCCCCAAGACCCTTAAATAGCACTCGCGTGCTCAATACATCACTCCAGTTTTTACCCCCATATCTTGGATCATGATAGCTTTATTAGACCATTACACTGTACTTCCTACAGGTCCTGATCTGATTGGTTCAAACTGAGTCTGGATATTGATATAGTCATTGCAACTCTGCACAAGTGTGGCCAAAAGCACAGTGCAGACAGAATGGCAATTCCAACTTTTCACTTGCTTTCTATTTCCTGAGTTTCTACCACTTCATATAAATTTTGTAGAAAAAAAGTCAGTAGAATCCTTCACTATATTTGATTCTTATTTTCCTTATCCCCAGATGCTGAATGCAAAGCAAAAATGGGAAGTAAAGGAAGCAATAGAGTGGGTCACTAAACCAGCTGAGTGTGAACCCTCATGGACTAAGAAGCCAACTTTTCCAGATGAGGATATGCATTTCCAAATGGGATATGCAACCATTTCAAAGCTTGAAAATTTAATATTTTATTTCAATAATACTGCAGTGACTCCAGTCAGTACTGTAGTGTAATGTTGATATTGTTCCTTTACATATTCAGAGTTCAGATTGAACTAGTGTTCAGAATAGCATTAAATGTATTTGCTATATGATCTTGATACATATTCTCCACCTGTATTCCCTTAAGTTTAAAAAAATAGTTTCTTTCTTAAAACAATACTTAAATATATTGCAATGCCTACATGAGGAAGGCAGCTGACATTTAGTGCCAAAAGGAAATGGACTTTTTTAAATGTGTGGTTTCCGGTGAAATTGGAAATTTGGTTCAGAATTTGTGCTCCAAACACACTATACATAGCAGCACTGTTATAACCCCAGATGTACAGTGTATGAATTGCTTTATTGCACTGAACACCCTGTTATATAATTCTTTACATTGCTTTTAGAGCAGAGAAAGCAGAAAAAAATCAATAAAATGTTTTATCACGTATGTTACATTTTCTATAAAATAAGTAGAAAACAGTATGCTGCATCAACTGTTATTCCATCTTTTGTGCTACCGAGTAGCTCCACTGGGAATTAAAAAAAAAAAAACCAGAAGCAAGTCTTGAATGTTTATTTCCTTGTAGGCCTTAGCACTTCTAGGAACTGGTGCAGCAATGACAAAACATGTAAGTGTATGTATAAGTGCTTTGGGCTTTTTCCTAATTACTATTTGTTTAATGCATCTACTGCATGGCCTTTGGAGCAGGTGCCAGAACTCCTTTACATTCCTCAAATGAGTTGAAAATCACTTGATCTCTACTTCAGTTATTTCCTACCAATGTTGCCTCACTCCACCTTATCTACCTGGTTCATTCTTCTCACAGGCAGTTTCTGTGAACAACCTGGAAATATCTGATCTTTTAAATTATTATTATGAAAGTAATTGCTGAAATTTCATATTCTTACCTCAGTGAGAAATTCAAAAGAATGCATCTGTGATTGTGATTGCCCATATGAAAGGCAGAAAAGCAAAGTACAAAGGATAAGTCCATGCTGCTTGCTCTGTGAAGGACACTGAAGCTCCATGAGATAGCTTAGATAACATCTGTGCAGGCTGGTGTAGGCTCAACAGTGTGGTCTGTGGAGAACTGCAGGGTTGCTGAAGCTGATATCCCCTGTAGCCCAAGGATAATTATCCAGCTCCCATTTTCATTTTGCTCTGTGGGCTTGGTGCTCCAGTGAGAGTTTTGCTTAGCACAGTAGTGCATATGTAGAAATGACTTTGCAGTGGCTATATGAAGGACTACATTTTAGAGTGGAGAGGTTTCAGGCTCCTCTTCTTGTATTAGCTCTATTTGTGCTGTCCCAACTCAAGTGTAAATATCAAAATCCCAGAGAACAATGCTATTAGCAAACTGCAAGTCACCCATCTCTCAGTGGCACCAGGGGCACTGTCAGGGGTGCAGGGAGGGCTGGGGAGCCACGAGCCCACAGCACAGCTGCCAGGGCAGGTCTGAGAGCAACAGCCACAGTCAACTGCGAAGGTTACCAGAGGAGGCCATTGTGAGAAGACCACTCTGAGGAAAGGGACTAGGGCCATACACAGCCCAGCGACTGCCAGCCTGTCCATGGGGATGAAGTCAGACCCAGGGCAAGCTGGACAGTCAGTCTGTGCTTCAGGGTCCAGATAGTGAGGTCCATGGCTTGGCGCAGGTACGATATGATAGAAGATGCTCGCACCTGGGGGTAGCTCAGGCAGGGACTGGGGGCCATGTCCTGAGCTGAGATGGGTCTGAGGGGAGGTGTGATGGGGGAAGGCTGCCAGTGAGGCTGGACAGGGCCAGCAGGGCCAATCCTGCCCTCAGTGCCCTGGCAGGAGCTGCTCCCCAGAGGGATGTGTCCTCCCACCCAACAGACAACTGGGCTCTGATGAGACTTGCTGAAGAGTGATTTAATTGCTGTGGGATGTAGGGGGCATTTCAGGGGTCACAGAGCCAGGGCAGGGAGACAGAAATGGGAAAGGGGCACGGTAGGGATTGCTGGAGCCAGGTGGGGGGCTCAGGCAGACCCTGAGTACCCCCAGAGGCCTGAGAAGCTTGTGGGTGGGGGTCAAAGAGGGGATTCTCAGGTGGCCTCTGAAGAGTCTCGAAGTCCCCCCGTGAGGGGTTTAGGCGGCGGCCAGTGCTGTAGGAGGGTGTGCTGGTTTTGGCTAAGGTAGAGTTAATTTTCTTCCCAGTGGCTAGTATGGAGCTGTGTTTTGGATTTGTGCTGAACACAGTGTTGATAATATAGAGATGTTTTTGTTATTGCTGAGCAGGGCTTACACAGAGCCAAGGCCTTTTCTGCTTCTTGTACTGCCACTGTGGTGAGAAGGTTGGGGTTGCATGGGAGATTGAGAGGAGACAGCCAGGACAGGTGATCCAAACTGACCAAAGGGATATCGCACACCATATGACATCCTGCTCAGTATATAAAATGGGCAGAAGAAGGAGGAAGGGGGGGACATTTGGAGTGATGGTGTTTATCTTCCCAAGTAACTGTTAGGTGTGGTGGGGCCCTGCTCTCCTGGAGATGGCTGAACACCTGCTTGCCCATGGGAAGCAGTGAATTAATTCTTTGTTTTGTTTTCCTTGAGTATGTGGCTTTTGCCACATACTGTCTTTACCTCAAACCATGGGGCTTCTGGCTTTTACTCTTCCAGTTCTCTCCCCAGTCCTGCTGGCGGGCGAGTGAGTGATTGTCTGTGGTGGTGCTTCCTGTCTGGCCAGGATTAAATTACAGTGGAGGATCAGAGCCCAGAGCCAGGCAAGGTTTGTAGAGCAAGGTCTTGTGCAGCCATGGGCCTAGCTCTGCAGTGCTGGCTTAGGGCTTGAGGCAGCCTGAGATACTTGGCAGGCAGGATGCCACAGAGGCCAGCTGCTTCCAGGGGCGAGGAACTGCCATGGATCCCCATGGGGACAGCAGGGCAGAGGCCTCCCAGCCAGGCTCATCCCTCCATTCAGGAGCAGGGGCGACAGGGGACAGTGGGGTAGCCCCAGCCCCAAGCACTGGGCATCTCCCTGGGGATAAGGATGAGTATGGGTAGAGGCCAGGCAGTGAGGGGAACTATGGTCAGACATGGCCCAGTGTGTGTCCAGCCAGGCTGGGGTGTTGGTCCCTGGCCAGACACATCCACAGCTGTAGCAGAGCTGGAATCAGGTACACCCATGTGGTGGGTTGACCTTGGCTGGATGCCAGGTACCCACCCATCCACTCTATCACTCCCCTTCCCAGCCGGACAGGTGAGAGAGTAAGATGGAAAAAAATCGTGGGTACGGATAAGGCAGTTTATTGAAGCAGAAACCAGGCGAAAGCTGGCACGCAAAAGCAAAGTGAAAGATAACATGGTTTATTCTCTACTTCCCATGAGCAGCCATGGTCGGCCGCTCCCGAGAAGCAGGGCTTCAGCACTGTGATGGTTCCTCAGCAGGCAGCCATTGGAGACAATTAATGCCCACCTTCCTGCTCCTTGCCTCAGCTTTTACATCTGAGCTGATGTCATATGGTACAGAATATCCCTTTGGTCATTTTGGGTCAGCTGCCCTACTTGTGTTCCCTCCCAGGATCTTGCCCTCGATTGAGAAAGGAATTTTACTGTGCTGATGCTGTGCCTGCCCAGTTCAGCAGTAGCCAAAACACTGGTGTGTTATCTACCAACTCCCTTCTAGCTACCAATGCAAAGCACAGCACTGTGAGGGCTACTGTGGGGAAATGAACTCCAGCTCAGCCAGACCCAATACAACCTGCTATTCAAGCCTGGTAGAAGCTAAGGCTCGTGGACAGAGGGAGTGAGCCCCAGGTGAGACTGGTCATGGCGAGGTCTGTCAGTGCACTTAGTGCCCTGCCTGTCCTAAGGAGGAATTTGGTACATACGCAGCTATTTTAAAAGGTTGAAACCTGTTCTTTGCCCCAAGGAAACTCATTCTTGGTATTAGTACTTAAGTCACTGCCACCAGCTATAATTAAATACATTTTGCATGAAATATTTTTAATGAGTCCAAAGACCAGAATCAACCCTTGGATATATCATAAATAGCAAGGTGTCAGTAGACAGCCTGGTACCTTTTAGAATACCAGTCTCCAGCCTAAAGTAAATTGTTTTTTATTTGCATCCATCCTTTTTCTGAGTAGTGACACCAAATCTACAGAGCCAAACAATGTAAATTAACAAATTCTTGGTTCTCTGCAGCAATTGGAAACAACAGCGATGGCATTACCATAATTTCTCTGCCGGTTTCTCATGCCAAGCCCTGCTATCAACATTTTTAATTGTACTTCTCGCTCTCAGCTGTTGTCTACCAGTAGATAGGACACCTAATTTGCAGAGGGGGGTGTTTTATAATGAATGTCTATTAGGATGGGTTTGAATTACCCATCAGTATAGCCTTGCTTTACAAATTAAAGGCTGGTCCTGAATACTGGCTTTACTTGATGGTTCGTATAACCTTTCTCTTCTTTTCACCATAACATCCAAGAACCACATAAGCATTTAATGTATTTATATACAGAACTCTCCACTGAATAAATGGAATACAATTATCTGTACTAGAAACATGGGAAATTAATATGAGGCCTTAACTGCCTGAACAGCTTAGCCAAGTTCCAGACAGGAAATCTCTAGCACAGCTAGAAATTGAATCCTGACTCTCATCCAAGTGTGTCTCCTCTACAAGTTCATCTCTCATCTGGCTGGAGTAGTCTCCAGGAGGAATGATTTCCTACAGCAGAATCACTGCTATATTCACTTTATCTGTCTCAAAACGGGAATAGCTGCTCATTCACCAAGGCAAGAACATCCCAAAGCTGTGCAGTCCTGAGCATGCTGAATCCTATCCCCAGAGTACCCCAAGTTCCTGTCTGTGGACACAGTTAGGTGACCAAAGGGGTGTGTGTTGGCTCCTAAAGGAGCCCAAACATTAAAAAGATTTTGAGGCAATCTGTGAGGCAATTATCTGGCAGAGCTGCCAGATCACTTTGTGTGAGCATTACATAATCGTTTCACTACAAACTCAGGGTGCCTTTGTGGACGTTAAACCCATGTCCCTGGCCTAGAATGCAACAGCCATTTTGACTCGGCGCTTTCACTTCACTTTCACTTTTGCGATTCAACATCCAGTTAAGGGGTAGTAATTTCCAAACTCATTCCAGGACGACTACGCCCTTTGGCACACATTGATTTTTTTTTCACTGTACCTCACTTCATTGTGTCAGGTGTAGTGCTCCTAACATTACAAGTATAAGCTGATTTTTAATACTGGCAACATCCCTAAAGTTCACTTCAACCAAATTCTTATGTGATCTGTCATTTAAATGGAGTAATTAAAATAATTTGGATTTCCAGAGACACACACAGGAGGGACATCGTACAAATGTTTTTATATGAGTTGCCAGCAGCTCTTGGAATATGTTAATTTGGGAGACTTCAGGTCTTAACTTTTCATTTTTTTCCTTTACACTGCCACAACAGAGTGATATTTAAACAGCTTCTACAAGCCAAGGCCTTGAGTTATCTCCAAACTGACAGCTGCAGTCTGGGAAGAGTGAATGAAAACTTGTCTGTGCTGCTGATGGCCAAACGGTTCCAAAGTAAGGCTCTTCAAAATGCAGCAGCAATGAGAAAATCTTCCTCTCCCCACCCTTCAAGCCACTCTGATTAGTTTCTTCAGCTATCATGCCTGTGATTTATGAGCATAAGCTTGCATGCACTGCTGTAAAATTCTTTGTTTCATGTCATGCTGTGGGGCTGACCAAAGGGCTTTGGATGTCTTGGTATGGCACTGTCATGTCTAGTATGGACACACCTAAGTATTTAAAAGGCTTGAAAACAGGTTAGTTATACAAAAAAAATGCAGTAGCAACTGGTTACAGTGATTGTCCTTTGTTTTCTTAAAAAAATATATTGCTACATGATGGTCACAGCATAAATTTGTGTTGCTACCCCACAAGCCCACCTTTCTGTGGTCTACAAAGGGAAGGCAGAGGTGCAGGTTAGACTTCAAGCAGGTGAAAGTGAACCATTTGTGGTTTTGATAAAGGCACTTGAAACTTGGGCTGCATTCCATATTCAGACACCAGTCACTATGGTGGCAAACTCACCAAGCCAGGCTCATTAACAGACTGTTGATTTTGATGGTTGATCAGACAGATGTTTGTCTCAAAATTCAGAAGCTGTTCTTTCTTTTCTGACCTTTCATCTGTCATAATCAGATAACTAATATTCTTTGTGGTATCGCAGTAAGCCAATTTTGCAACATATCAAAACATGTCAGAAATAATATGGGTAAAGAAAGCTTGTCTAAGGCAGTAGAAAGTAGAAGTTGGTATTTGACCAAAGTGGTAAGAAATTTCATTGCTACCTCCAAGTTATTGAATTGCCCTTGGAAAGCGGAGAAATGATACAAAGATGCATCTGGAGGAGAAATTACAGAAGAGGGGAAACTCTTCAAGTCCAAATGGTGAGGCAGAATGAGGGTAGCAGTCAACGGGGCAAATGGCAAAGACTCAGAAATACTACAGATATGTAGAGCTGGTAAGGAACTGACTTCTAATTCCACCTGTAGAGCCCTAAGTCATCAGCAGGGGAGAGTGAGGAACTGGGAGCTTCTGGGACAGCTTATTCGTCAGGAAATAAGTCCAAGAACAACTCCTTCTCTCAGTAGGCCTACAGGTCCCTTTCACAGCTTCCCAAGATGATCTAGCAATGTCCCATGTTTTGTCTAAAATACTGCTCTGAATATGGCCTGCAGTCATACTAGTCATCTTCGCAGCAGTGAACAGTGTTCACATTCTGCAAATCAAAATTCCTCAAGTACCTCCTGTTTAAGCCTATATATTCAAATTCTTTGAATATTCATTTTTTTTGCATGAAATCACATAGAAGTCTCATACCTATAAATTTTAAAATGTATTATCACTTTTATTCACATTAAAGTGTGCTGTGTGAAGGCTGCTTTTTACATCTTTCTCATCTTTTGAGCACTGTAAACCTTCTTGGTCTTCAAGGTACAAGCTTCACTTCAATAACTGCTATTGGCAGTAAATTGTGCTGACAAAGGAAAACACTGAATTTGTAGTTAATTCTTATACTAAAAAGTAGTAGGTCTTCCAGAGCAATATATATTGGTCTGTTAGGGCATGCTATGTATGTCCATACACCTAACTCCTCTGTAATTTATGAAAGGAAATAAATTATTCCCATTCTGAATTCTTCTCTTGGCTAGGTATTCCTGTCCTGGATAACTTCACTGAGACTGCAAATTCCCAGTAGTCAAGCCCTGAGGCCAACATTTTATTTCACATCCTCACTTGCTAAAATGTCCTGCAGATTCCACCTTATCTGCAGTGTTACATAAAGTGGTTTCCAGCAAAAGAAACTTAACTTGCTAAGTGTAGGCAGAACTGTTAAGTGAATTTGCAACTTAAACTGGGTTTTTTGTACTTTAGAGGACTGTAAAAACACTCAAGAACCTTTAACTTACAAAAGTATGCACATGGTAAGAAGTGGCTGACAACCTACAGCTGGGATGTATCATTAATGTAGAAGACACCTGGACTATCTGAACTAGATGACTTTAAAATATAAGACTAGTAGAGCTGAGATAGAATTTATTAGGAGGAGCACATGACATAACTGAATGAATGTAATTAAAGCACACTGATTATCAAATTCTTAGAATTATCTGAAATCATACACTTTTCCAATATTTACAAGTTTACTGACTTTAAAATTTAATAAAAAAATTACTATGCATTTCTCCACGTGTTCAAATATGTATTGAATATTCTATGTCTGAATTATAATCATAGATCTATTCACAATTAAATTCCTGATGAGGAATTTTATAAGAACTGAAGTTAATGCAAAAGTTGCAAGGATAAGGAGAGATAAAAGCTGAATTCCCCTAAGATTAAATTAATAAACTCCATTCCTACAAATACTATAACCTCTAACTTTTAATGCTTCAGGTTGCAAAATTAGTCCACATTTTTGTGGGATCTGGTTTTAAATGATGACAGACAGCTGATTACTAATGCTATCTGGTTACTTCTGTTTAACTACAGCTCTGTTTGATTTATATCAAAATAATCATTCATGTAGGCTTGAGGAATAAAAAAAATTGCTGCTACAGAGATGTTACACAGACACTGCATTTCAGGCAAGGTTCTGTTAAGATCTTTTGTCTTCCTGATGGTTCATCCAGAAAGACCATGGGAAGTTCAAGTGTTTTTCCTTGCTAGATCTCACCCTCCAAGATCCTTTGCTTTTCAGCTCTTTTTTACTACTAAACATAAACAAACACAGCAAAATTAAATACGCATCATATGTTCCAGAGGTTTTTTTTAAAAAAGCTTTATTAGACATACACACTTTAGAACATATTTAACGAATTCTCCAACCCTGAAGGAATCCTCTTTATATCAAGCACATAAGCAAGTGTTCACAGTAACTGGATGGTAATAGAAGTGGCTACTGAAGCATGTAGAAAACTAGCTCACTGACAACTTAGAGATGAGTTAATGTCTGCACAGTACCTCAGGCATAATCATCTGTTCTGTACAACTACAGGTTAGTACTGAAGGCAGTTCTGGTCTGCTACTATCTATTTCTTTTTAATAATAAAGCAGGTATCTTTTGAAGTATATAAAAGCCCCATCATTTTAGAGAAACTAAGTATCTTAGGTACATTTCCACACAAATATTTAATGCTGGTTTATAGCATTAAACAGCCATTTCCATTTTAATAGGTGGATGAGGATTATAACCTTCAATCTGAAAGTCTTCTGCCTTAAAGTCACTGATGTCTTCAACCTTACGAAGAATTCTGAGTTTGGGGAAAGGTCTTGGCTCCCTCTGAAGCTGAAATAAAAGGAAGCTTACTGTATAAAGCTTAATACTTGAGAGATTTTGTGTTCTCAATGTCAATTCAGACTACACTATGTAGACTTTCCCTCCCCATCAAGAAGACTTATACTAACAAAAAAAAGGGAAGAAAATTTTAATATTGTTAGGTGGAATCTACTTTAGTATTTTCATAGGGACAGTAGCATAATTTTCAAGTGAATTCCTTGATCATCCAAATGCACTGCAAGCAATTCCAGTGGGTGAAGCGATTCTGGTGGTTACAGATCATATTCCTTCCAGAGGAAACTATATTGGAAACTCTGACCCAGATGTGCATCAAATGTGCTGCAGTTTCTCACAAGACCATTTGGGTCCAAACCATTAACTAGTTCTCTGAATGGTTTTGAACCATATGAATAGTGAGGACAGTCAACCCAAGCTAAGTCAAATCAAATAGAATTCTGATTTTCTCCTATTGCAACAAATTACTTACTGAAGAAAACACAGCCAAATAGTAATATTGATTAACTCTGTGAACCGGTAAGTTATCATCTTCTGCTATACTACAAAGACATTTTATTTTTTGTTTATCTGGATTAGGCAGAATGATTTTCTAAGGTTTTGGCATGATTTAGCCAAAAGTAGGAGTACCGATTCCGGATCTCCAACTTGGTTCTAAAGTAGTACACTAATGTGCATTTCAATCATGTTTGTATTGTATTTCTGTTTGCAACCTGAGTTGAATACTACATTTATTAGTGTATTACAATTATTAGGGGAGAAATCAGAAGAAAAGCCACACAAGTTAATATTTGCAAACGGATATTTATAATACCAAGATAATTCTGCATTGAACAAGCATTGTGGAAGATAAAACAATACAAGAATACAGAGTAAGTACTTACTTGAACTTTAAGAGATTCCACATGATTCAGATATATGTGAGCATCTCCTAAAGTGTGTATGAACTCTGCAGGCTGAAAAAATGAAGAATACACGTGGTTTTCAGTCAGGTTTCAAGAAAGCAAAACATTACAATGCTTACAGTATTGATTCATAGCACCTTACATCTAGTGTGGAACAGTGGAGCAGTTTTTGTACTGGATTGTATTGCCAAGACATCCTTGAAAACTTTGAAGGACACTAGCTTCCCTGACTACTGCATAATTAATGAAAAACATATTGAAATTTCCACTACCTTACAAAAAATTTATCTTTGAAATCCTGCTAGAATAATAGCTTTGGTATTGAATGGAGCACTACTGATCTGTTCACCAAGATAAAAACAGACAGGGCAGTGACATGCAGCTTTTACACTTCACTTTTTAAAAGTATGACTTGCCAAAGCTCGTTTCAGAGCAGCTGCCTTAGCCTCTTCTAAACATTGTACTTTGCAGCAGTGGAGGTGTCAGTCACAGTCTAAACCCCAAAGCACTTATCAAGCATCCAGATATGTTTGCAAGATTGCAAGTTCTGTGATTTCACAGCCCCTGAGCAACCTAATTTAACTCAGGTAAGTTTTATCAGCTATTTTACTGGCCTCTGACCAACGTAGATAAGCCCCTGGATATATTACATTGAAAACCACCAAAGCCATGAGACAAAATGGCTGAGACAACAGCTGCCTTATGGACTTTACCTTGGACTAATATGGACTAGTACCTTGGACTAATTTCTTTGTTTGCAATTGCTGTAAAGTCTGATTCTTCCCTATTTCCTTATTTTAAGTTCTCCTTCATGTTGCTGGTAGCAGGAGGATCAAGCACAAATGGCCTTACTAGTATAATTTTTACATGCCCTAAAGAAAAGGGGTTTTCACATGTACAAGATTGCTGAGCATTTTTAATTTCTCTGTCAAATTAAAAAATATATCTCTGAAGTCAGGGCAGGAGCTATTTGAGCACATACTACCACTCTACATAATCATCTACAGTAGGAAATCACAGAAATACCTAGCTGAAATTACAGCTGGAAGTTAGGTGGGCAGAAT